TCAGTATTATATTTGTTTCTATAATTTTTCAAAAGAGAATGAATCTTATTGTTAAAAAGGATCATTTACACATTGCTATGTATTGTCCATAAATAATAATAATTTTCTTAATTGAATAATTATATGCGTCATATAAATCGAGCCCAATGCCAACGGTTTGAATATATGAAAACTGAATGGAGGATACATAACCTTAAATAAAAAAATAAAAAGAAAATGACAGAGTCCCCTTTGCTTGGCATTCTGAACTGCAATGAAGTGTAGTTGGATCGTAACATGCCTTTTTGACCTTTAGAACATGCTATACATGCCTGGCTCTGCAAGTCTTGCTGGTGCATAATTCCTGTCTGTTTCACAAAAGAAATCTTCATTTTCCGTTGATATTTTATTGCCAAAATATTCTCATATCCATCACGTGTCTGCTTATTCCCTTTACATCTGTCACAAGTAAAGCACCCAAGCGTTGAAGATTGAAAGCAACCGATTATAAAATAGAATCCACAATTCCATGTCCTTCGATCTGCAATTATTGGAAAAGGTGCTTAAAAGGAATTGATGGCGTCTTCACGAAGATAGTGGATGTCCTACAGTACTGGTCCCATTTGACATCAACCAGCAAAGGGTATTCACGTGGCAAGCATGCAACTTAAAGGACAACTTTGGATCTCATGCATATGTGGGATCTTTTCTTTCTTGTTGGATAGAAATTATATCAATAATACTGCTATCGAATATTATTTTTTTGAAGCTGTGTAAATAAGAGAGTAAATTGTATGTTACCTCCTACTTTTTCAGGTAATTAGAAAGATTAACATCAAATAGATACGTAGAGATTGAATTAATATTTTCACATCCCTTAAATAATAACATTAAACATGGAAATGGAAAGTATATTCCGCAAAATGCTTTAAAAAATCAAATTAATTTGCAGGAAATGGATTTTGAATCGCTGTCATAATACGCATGAATTACATTCTTTAATACACAGACATATATATATATATATATATATATATATATATCAAACTGGATCAACCTGTGATCTAAAAATCCAGAACCTTGGCCAAATCAGGCCTCAGACCAGATCATACAACTATATATGTTATTTTTTAACGTACAGATCTTGATTAGGCTCGTTAATCTAGAGCCTCTAGCTTGTACTGTTTATACTTGAGTTACTTGCATGTGCCAATGTGGTCCTTAATTCGATGGAATTTCGTTGTTAAGAAAAAGAAAACAGAAAAATCCTAGGTTGCAAACTTCGAATGCCCAATTGGATAATATTAATAGATGGCATGGCACGTTATGGATGATGGAAAGATGATGAGAATGGCAATCCCGATACATTCTATAAAGTATGCATGCATGATGCACCTAAGGTGACATCCACATTACCTATTTATGACATCAATTTTAATGCGCCTCTTAAGGTCCGTTTGTACGCCGGACGGAATTGGAGTAAACTGGACGGATGGCTATTATATCTCTATTATTACCAGCAAGCCGCACCTGACTGAAAAATTACTCTGATCTGCGTTTGGTAATGAGAATAGTACTCTAATTGTATCCATCTCCCATAAAATTAATAACAATAAGAACTAGAAAACATAATAAAGATATGAAATTAGAAAATAATCCAAATCTTTATATATATATCAGAAAAATAAAATAAATCTTCTAAATTACAAATAATTTTATACACATACCAAACATCCTTTAACCCTTTTTGTTTTACACACTTAATATTTTATCTTTTAACACTTAAAATAAAATTAGTTTCGATCGATATATAAACTGGTCTAAAATACTCTTAATATTAAGAAATATATATTAATTTGCTATCACACGTTAGGTAGCAAAGTGAGCATTTTTTTTTTTTCATTCATTTTATGCCGAATGGATTTATTGAGCTACACAATGGGGCAGCTCTCTTCCTTACATGATAATCATTAAAAAATTTAAAGTTATCATAACTTAAAACTTATTTCACTAGAGAAGTTATCTAGATACACAATCATTAGTTTAAGTCTTTCATCTAAAATGAATATTTTTTAACATGCTTAGTTCCTTCCTATGCTGTGAAACTAGCTTGTTCTACAGAGCCCATAACAACAAAGCCCATAAAGGAAACATCCAACCCAAAAATAATAGTCCCACTCACCTAAAAATTCAAGCACTGAGTATGCCCTAAAATTACATAAATAGGACATACCATCATCTTCATTGAAGTTTATTAGCCCTCTAAACCCTCTAGAGAGAAAATAAAAATAAAAAAACTTCCAAACAAGATTAAGGAAGGTTAAATGTTAACTGTTTAAACCCTAAAACATTAACAGTTAACTCTATTTGACCCAAAACAAAACACAACTTTACATTGGGTAGGACTAACGCTGGGGTCCTACCTTGGTATGGGATTTGGGTTGTTGCAATGTCGTCATTCTTTAATTTGATTTCCATGAAGCAATTCGGCAAGCTGTCAAGAGAGTCTCTCATTTCCATCTTCATTTCTCTTAGATCCTACGCATCGAAATTGGCATTGCTCCATTTAGCATGGTCGTCGTGAAGCTAATGTCTACTACTACTGTCGAAATAAAAATAATTTTGTTAATCATAAATTGTCATGTGTCATTTTTTTATTTAGTGTTAAAAAATATATAAAATAGTTGACTTGGCACTAAATGAGCCTCCGTTTAAACCCCTCTTGTCTTGCGTTCCTGGCTCATTTGCCCCCATTTGTTCTCTTTCAACTCCCTTAAGATATCATATACTCAAACTAGTATGTGTTTGAGGTAATTTCACTAGTTTTCGAACATTAAAAAACCCTTACGTACAATGATTTTGAAAGCAAAGCAAATGCTCTTGTAGCTCGAGTAACACACGTCCCCTTCCGCGAGAGTTCTTAATTAGGTTCAGCACTTTTGGCTTGTATCAAAAAAGAAAATGCATGGAGAAAAAAGAATCATTTAGCATCATTTGCCAATTTTCTTTTTTCTTTTTTTCTTAAAAAATTTCAGAAAAACAAAAACATAAATCTCGCAAACAAAATGGTTTTTAAAATCTGTGTTAGTGGTTGTTAGTTTTGCTTTTCTTCTGGAAAAAAATAAAATACAAACAAAAACAAATGATTATTTTTAGACGTAAAGATTGTCATTATATGATATTGACATGATATTTCCAAAATTATTTTGACTAAGAAAAAAATTTAAAAAGTTTTAAAGTCTCCTTCTAGTGCTTTTATCACCTCCACCGCTAGTACCATCATCTTTTTTATTGGTAGTGATGACAAAATTTTGATTTTTGTTTTATTATTACTATAATTCTATCATCACTTAACAATTATCATCATTATCATTTTTCTTCACTGTCATTTCCTATAATAGTGGCATTATTTTTTTTTCAAACATATTATTACTATGACTATATTATTAGTCCATTATCGCTAATACCACCTCTTCCCTCTCCACCACCATTGTCACATAATCTCTATTATTTTTAATATCATTATAGTTAATAAAATTATTTTTTTAATTATTATTTTTATCTGTCTTACAAATTAGATATTAAAAATTTTAATTTTATTCTGATTCATTTTTATTATTTCAAATACAATGTTAAAACAAAAATATCATTCTGATTCTTTAATTTTCATCTTGATTCTTAAATTTTCATTCTGAACTTTTTATTTTTTATAACCAAAAAACACCTTGAGGATCAATCTGCTAAAAGCTTGTCGATTATTGAACACAGGAAAGGGAAAAAATACGAGCCATAAAAGAAAAACCAAACTCCATCATTCATGATTCAATGCAAGGCACTTTATTTTGTATTTCAAGGAGTTAAATCGTTGCCCCAAGCCCCAAGGCAAGGAAAATATCAGCCCTAGGGCTAACGCAAAGCTCCAATAACCTTGTACGCCATAGCATGCCCTTACGAGTTACAGCTCACTCCAAAAATATCAGGCAAGATGCTCTCAAAGAACACTGAAATTAACTACCAAATAAATTTGAACGTAATAATGCTACCAATCGTTTGAGTAGGCTATATCTCTGTTCTATGCCACTAATCATCATCTTCCGCAAAAGTGCTGTCAATTGGGTGATTCACTTGTAATGACTATAGTCTAAATCTCCTCCAAATTTTAATTTATTTGAGAATCAATTCTTCGGCGTCAAATTTGCAGATTTAAATATTCCTCCAACTATTTTTCATTTCAAAATAGATCTTTCTATTAAATTTTCAAAATAGTTAAAGAACTTGCTAAAATTTATAAATGCTTTGTTTTCTCTCAAAAACTTATTTCTTTCCTCCTAAATACTGAGTAAGCAATTAAAAAATATTTTAGAAAAAAAAATTTAAAAGAAATGACAAAACATCTGTAAGTTAAAAAAAAAACAATTACATGTACTTCCACTGTTAAAATTTATGAAAACTTAACAAAAAAACTCGATCTCAAATAAAAATAACTAGAAAGAAATCCAAATCAAAATTAGAAGCCCAAAAACTAATTACCAAACAACTTTGATTTTGAACCATTTAGACAATGATTAATGACTGCTAGTGAAATACTTTACCATATAACAAGCATTGGTTCCATATTAATATCGGAAAGGAACAAAATCCACATACAACTTGACCAAAGGAGAACCTTATATTAAAACTTTTACATTAATACAATACAATACAATACATAAATCCCAAAAATTATCTACTCTCAACTTTGTCCACATGCTACATGAACATGCATTTTTGGTATAATGAATAACCGAAGTAGGCTATTACAGCAATGAACATGGACCATGGTAATCCTAAGCCTGGTCCCAATAGCATCTAAACTACAAAAGAATATGCTATACAACAAGATGTTTGCATTCTCGAAGAACAAGGTAAGGTGTGCCAAAAAAATGGTGTTACGAGGGTAGGAAACAATCAGGTATAATGTAAATTCCTAGTGAATCTCTTATGGGATGTTAGTATATTTTTATTTTGACGTAAAGCTGCATCTACAAGCATAGAAGGCTATAGAAAACAAGTGGTATGAATGCATTATCAAGTTGTGCAGTGTAGGCCTCCAACAATCCACTCACTGTGACAGCTAGGAGTAGAGAGATCCAATGCTGCACAAAGTAGTACAGGAAATATCAGCAAGTGGATCAACAGCTCAAATGGGAAAATAATGCATAGATTAATAAAAAATTCCACCCCCTCTCTTTTGAGCAGGGAGGGAGGAGGGACTGGTTTATCTGTCTCGTGAGGGAAATGGTTTTAAGGATATTGATATGGTGCATGCAATTAATAAATGAAGTCAAATCAGAATTTTGATACATATAAGAACAAGCATCTATAGCAGAAGCTCTCTGCCAGAAGATTCAGCTACTTTGAGAAGAAAAGGAAGGGTACATCACTCAGCTTCTAACTTGGAGCAGGAGTAGAAAACAGGAGACCAAAATTAAAATGGGATATGCATGAGAAATTCGAGTCACAAGGCATGCATTCAACTCATCTACGAGACACTGGAGCAAAATCTTTTAGGCCAATTAAAAAACTGATTTAGAAGTTCTACTGTGCTGATTTGGTAGAACTCTACATCCATGAGAGAAAAAATAAAAAATAAAAAAACTATTTAGCCAGTTCAACTGTCCATAACAGATTAGATTTAATGTAGAAGGTTTTTTTTTTCCTGTGAAATGGAAGCATATCTGAGCATGCACAAAATACATGCAAGAATAATGAGCTGATTTACCCTGTCCAACTGAAGTAAATCCACTCCAGTGGAAAGTACCAGAGCCTTTGGTAAATTTGTGTGTGTGTGTGTGTGTGTGTGTGTGTGTGTGAGAGAGAGAGAGAGAGAGAGAGAGAGAGAGAGAGACCTCAGTAAGAAAATATCCAGTGGATGCTAAAAGTGGAAGCAATACTGAGCAAGCAGCAAGGACTGACGTTATACCAGCTGCAGTGCCTTCAATAGTTTTCTCTAGCAAGTAGAGTTTCACACATAATATCAGAAATATATCAAAAACACTAATAGGCCAAGAATAAATCATTCTAAAGAGAACTTACTCCCAGTTTTGCTCCACCTGAGGACACCATATTTGTGACCAACCAATGAAGCCTGAATATTAAAGCAAAGTCATCTTATTAGTTTAGAATGAAGCAGGGCTATTGGAGAACAATAAACATGAATAATGTAATGACAAGCACAAACAAGGGCCTATATATGTCATTACCAATAATTCTCATAATCCATATTCATCCACCAGATACACAATTATATTAGAAGTTCACTTGTAACAGCTTCTACAAACATACAGTTAGCTCATTTGACCAGATATTACACAATATAAGGAGATCTCTGCGGCCAAAGGGCCACATATATCATGCCAAGTGAAAATCTTTTATTGTCCGGCTATTATATGTGAATAAATATTACTAGCAACCAGAATCTGTCGAACCATACATCAAGTTTGGCTTGTTATGTTGACATTAGAATGAATTCCCATAAAACAAGAAACTTAAAGCAAGATACTATCTACCTCCCAGTTCTGCTTTCCTTCTTTCAGGGCAGAAAGTTTCAATTGCACAAAGGCAATCCATCTTTTGTTAAAAATGACATCTGATTTGCTTTCAAATTGCCTAGATGGATACAAGTATCAGCTTGGATGGCAAGTTTGAAAATAGTAAACCAAGTTCAGCAGGAACGACAAACTCTTTGAGGCCATTGAGGTTTTATCAAAAGTTCCAAGAAAAAGGTACTGAAACATACATCACAAATCTCTCCAGCTTGCAATGATGAGGAATAATTGTTGTATTTTTGTTCCTTCATACCCCTGCTGAAGCTTATGTATTTTTCCATTGATAATCATATGTAAACGTTGAAGGATCCAAAATTCCCTATCACATTGCATAGTGGTAATTCCATTGGACAAGGAGAGAGAGAAGAACAACATGCAAGAGGACGGAGGTCATGGGGAGAGAAACAGAAGAAAAGAAAGGAGGGATGAGTAGAAGAAATAGCAGAATGAGAAAAGATAGGCGAGATGACATGCTGCATGGTGATAACTTATAGAGATCTAAAATCAACTAGAAACATGAAGCAAAAAAAAAAAAAAAAGGAATTTGTAAACCAGCTTGTTACCAATAAGTAACATGAAACAAGCTCACTAACCATTGTATCCCCAATTCCAAGGCTCAAAATTCCAGCGAAAGGAGCAAGGGGTCGATCATTGTATCCAGAAGACATCCAAATAGGAAGTGCACATCCCAGTAAGAGTGAGAAGTGGCTAAAGAATGAAAAAAATAATAAGAGGACAAATTACTCATCTGCATCAAACATATGCATTACAAAGACAAAATATGAGGAAAATAACTAGTCATGCCTGACAATGAGGAGGTCAGAGTCACGATGGTCTGTGAAAGCATTCATAAATTCATGCACAAGCTGTCCCAAAGGCCAGATTCTCCAAACCTGACAACAAAAAATACCGCAATGACATAATTTTTTAGGGCAAATCATCAACTCGGGAGGAATTCTTCAGAATACCCAGAGTTGTACTCTTTTCTCTCACATAACCATAGGACCCACCATAAAAATTATTCAAGGGCCCCATCTTCATGTAAGAGAGGAGAGTTGTACCTAATAATTTCTTGAAACTCAGACTATTTGATTATAGTCACCAGGATTGGGATACAGAATTTGAATGTACACCAAGTCTTCAAGCCCAGATCAGATTAACCAACCAATTTCAGGTAACAAATCTCATGCATGGTGCAGAAATTGCAATCATAGAGACATGCTCTCATCTAGACTAACAAAGACTTAGCAAGTGCAGTTATCAACATGACTGGAAAGCATAGCTAAGTCGAAATAAAAATGATAGCTAGCATTATGGTAGAATGCATGGGACAATCTACAGGCGGATTTGTACAAATTATTATGATAATTTGAAAAGGAAACTACAAAATTTAATGTTAAACATAAATGAAAGAAGACATAATTAACCTAAAAAGTTCATATGAAAAGAAAATGCCACAATTATTATATCTTTTAAAATTGCTCCCTACAATATTGACCCTCAGAACTTCACTTGCAACAAACTGATGAAACTTGTAGTAATCCAAGCTGTATATAAGAATGAAAATGTCAATGAAATACAATCTACACGTTCGCTCAACTTACTCGAATAATCTCCAAAGTCAAGAAAACTGCCAAGGCTGCACCAAATGCCAGATCAAGAAACTTAGGCTGAAAACAAACTTAAAGTCAGCAGTGTATACAAGAAAATCAATAATAGAAAAGACAAGCACAAAAACAACCCAGATAATGATCAATCCTTTTTTCCCCAAATTACCTGTAAGATAACAGCAGGCAGAAACATTGAAACGGCCATCAAATGGTAGTACTTCCGAAGAAGAATCCTCTCAATCTTACTATTCTTGGATATATTATAAAATCGCAGAACAGAAAGATATATCACACACACCCAATAAAGACAGAGCGATAGTCTTTTAACTGGTTCCATAAAAACAAATCTAACCACCCTGTTAAAGAACATATGATGAGAATATATTCTGAAGAATTGTGTAGATACAATGGATTGCAAATATAAGAAACAAGAATGCAATTCCTATTTCCTAGCCACAATTGTTTCAAGTATAACCACAGTGCAAAATAACCTCCATGGTGCACCCTAACAGGGTGGGAGACAACAATTACACTACAGAGATGTCCTAGTTCAAACCACAGCAAAAACAGTATAACCTATCAGAAAGAGGGGAAAAACATTGCACCCAAACATTTTGACATCAAAATATCATTCAATGCATGCAATCCTAAAATCAGGAACTATCTATATCACTGAGGTAGGATGAATCATCTACTAGTTCATTATTAAGCCAATTTGTCAAGATAAAATATTTTATCTTCACATGCAATCAGATCTAGAATGAAGCTCAATCAGTTACAATAGTTTATATGGAAGTAAATGTTGAAGGAGATACCATAACAGTGGATGCATGTCAAAATCCTGAACAAACTGCATCCATGAAGGGATGATCACAACATTCACAAAACCAAGGGAAGCAAAGAATATAAGAGATCTCCCTTTCTCATTACATGTCCTTGCTCCAGAGCTGCTCAAACTTGAAAAGGCATCCCACACACGAAGCAAATATTTCAAGACAACTGGGTAGAGGAGAAGACCGAGAAGTAGACCCTGGAAAGAACATAAAAAAACTACAAATTCATAATAAATTCCTCAATTAAGGGTGATTCTCTTTATGGATAACTCCATCAGTTAGCAAATCAAACCTGAATGATAATCCCAATCTCACTTCTCCTAAATCCATAGTGCATAAAGACTAATTCTGATGAAGTCAAGTATCCATAAAGCTGTTCAAACAATACCCATCACCATTATAACTTAAAAACTCTGGGCTTAATCCAGAGGGAAGAGGAGACTGTTTTGCACAGAAATGCACTAGCCTTTTCAATGGTATACGCCAACATGTCACCAAAGTAGAGTACAAGACCCACAGTCACCAGAAGTGCTTCCCCTAGAAAGAACAAGGAAAGGGATGATTGCCAAAAACAGAACCAGAATTTCTTAATAGTACAACATCAAAAATAACATAAAAAAGAAATATGAACTTGTTAGACAGCAATTCAGTTTCATCTAGTCAGGGCTGAAGGAAGGACATTTTTCCAATGGAATTCCGGCAAGAACTGGAGATTTAGGGTGGCTTAGAAACGTGCATTTTGGATTCTGAAAATGATAATCACTATACTATATTGTGTTTTGCTAGCTAGGACATTGTATTTTGTAACATTGAATTCAAAAATCAATTAAAAAATCGAAGGTATTGTACATAAACATAAGATGCCAACAAACTGGAGGCAGCAAGAAACAACCATCACAAGTTTGTTCTACCAGGTGTAACAAATAGGCATGATATTAACAGGCACATTGATGACATCACACTGTACAGAAGTCCTAAATCAAACTAAGCAACAATAAAATTGTCAGGGAATGTAGAAATATGCTATAAATGTTCCACTGTGCCTGCAAATCGCTGAGATTATAGAAACAATCACTGAAACATGAAACCAAACACTCAGAGAGAAGTATGATATCATGCTTCTGACTAAATATTTGCCAGTAAGCCATAGGTTTATCATGCAATACTTTAATATGACTCCTAAATTCTGAAAGATACATAAAGCAATGCAACAGTAAATTATAAAAGACCTTTGCAATTACCAGAACTCATAAAGCAATGCAGAATTATATCAGCATTCCACACTTTTTATCAACAAGATAGGCCAGCAGCAAACAGTAAACATACCAATGGAAGCACAAGAAGGAAAAGTATTAAGTAGATGCTGCACCAATTTAACTGCTGTGAATCCATGAAATAGCACCCACAATAGTTTCCATATTGCATGCACACCTGCAAACAAAATAAACAAAAACAGTAAAGGTGGGGAAAAGTTCCAGCCATGCAGCTATTTATTAGTCAAACTACAAACTAATTACATACTTACCAGTAGCACTATAAAAAAAGAATAGCGCTGCACCAATCACAATACATACTAAGCCAAACTTAGCATTCCATGTACTACATGAACGGCAACGTGTATTGTCCAATGAAAATAAGCAGAGAACCATAAGCACAGTGAAGCAGCTAGCAAATGTGGCCCAGTATTGCATTGACAGGTAATCAAGTTCTGCATAACGAGCCAAATACAATATATGAACAAAAATTTATATTATAGATCGATATCACAAAATATACTCCATATATGTGTGTGAGTGAGTGAAACATAACCCCTATTTTGTCCCCTGTATTTGTAGCAAAAGTCAATTCCCCCATAATTGAAAAAAACCTAGGCTAAATAAGGCCAATTGATAATTGAATCCGATTTCCATTGGGGAAATTGACCTTTTGCTACAGACACTAGGGGGAAATTGACTATTTTCTACAAACACAAAGGGAAGAGTGACTTCAAGTGATGCATAAACCTGGTGGTAGTGACTAAAAATCATTATCAATTGGCCTGATTTAGCCCAGATATGAAACACGGAAGGGCAATTGGCTTTTCACTACAAATACAGGGGGCAAAAAAGAGAACATCTATAAATTAAGATCTATATGATTTTTAGTACCTCCAGCTTGAATTTGATGCAATGACAAGGCTCTTGATTGCTGTATCAATTTTGAGAGCATAAAAGTTGGTAATGTAACTGCACCTAGTAGTATCCCTGATGAAGCGCCCGCCCTGAGTATTACATTCAAATGCAAATATCATATATTGACTGACTTATTACAAATTAAACGGCAAAAACAACAACGATAATAATTTCTTGATATCAGGTGTGGAGAAAAATAAATTAAGATGCTAAACATTGACCAATAAAAATAAAAATAAAATCCCTAGGTCAACTAATAAATCACAGATTTAAATTCAACTTCATGATGGCCGATCAAAAGAAGCAGGAAACCCTAACAAGCAAGGAATTAAAGCCTAAAAGTAAGTACCTGGCTTTGAATTGAGAGAAGGAAGCGGAAGTCTCTAGGCGGATCTCGACGTAAAGAGCAAAGAGAGCGAGGAGAGAGAGAAGGACGCCGTGCATGAGAAGAGAAAGAGGGAGAGAGAAGAGGACGATGACAACGAAAAGGGTAACCACCGCCCTCTCGCCGTTAAATAACTGCGACGACGTGACGGCCATGGCCGCTCCGCTGCCAAGTTGAAATTGAAATCAAACGATTCGGTTCAAGTGAGAACGGAAATGGAGTAAAGTAGCCTGTCTTGTTGATTTTTTCGCGGGAAGGATCGAGTTGAGTCCGTCAGAGCCATCAGGATGGATCATGGCCATGGAGAAACGAGCCGTTCCGTTAGGTGGCTGGCTGACTCAATTGGTGGCCCCCACCAATACGTGTTTCACTCAATGATACGCTCCCACCTCAGCTGCCACTGTTTTTCCCAAGCTGGTTGTTTATAAATTCAAAATACGCGTTTTGCCGGTATAATTGTTTCCCTTCTTTAAAATTCCATGCAAATACCAAAGATAAATAAATAAACCTAACACAGCGTGGAAGGTTAATTCATCCATTTTGGAGGCGACTTCAAACATTGTTTTGACTATTGAGGCATTGTGGAGTAAATCATTGACCATAAATTTTATAATCTTACGTTAACGGTAGGTTTTGCTCGCGTACTTTTGATTTTTTTTTATAGATTTTGTTCCTAAATAAATTGTTTTATGGATTTTATTCTTGCAGGGTAACTGTGTAAGTTCAATTAATGATTTTGTCTTTCCATCCAATTATGTTAGATCGCATGCTACCTGTCAAATATCTGCACGCCTGGACATAATAAAATTACACGTAGAAAATTCAAAAAAAAAATAATTAAAAAGAAAAATTAAAAAAATAAATTAAAATTATCGGAAAAATGTTTGGGTTTTTTCAAAATTAAAAATTATAAAAATATTAAAATTATTGGGTAAAGTATGATTTTATAAGATTATAAATTAAATACATATTAAAAAATAAATTGAAATTACAAGGAAAAGAATCTTTCTTCCTCTAATTTTTTTTAAAAAAAAAGGATTGTGTTTTTTATAAATTAGAAATTAAATTAATATTAAAAAGTATTACATAAATTAATTAAAATAATATCAAATTAAATAAATAAACATTTATTCCTATAATCTTTAAAGCTTCCTGTTCAAAAGATTTCAATCTTAAAAAAGTTGAAAAAGATAAACCCAAATTTATATGTAGGTAAAAACCCATTTTGAAAAATACCATTCGAAAGCGTATTTTAATCGAAACGATATTAAATTTATGTTTCTGATCGTTTGATACGAAAATATCAAATTTGATGTTTTTCGGCTCAAACTTTACTGAAATTAATCAAACATATGCATTCCACTGCCAAAAACAAACTAAGGGTCAGTCCAGCTCATGACAGCACCATTTTCTGTTGTCGTGCGTTCCACTACCAAAAACATACCAAGATGTCCAGCTCATGATAGCACCTTCTTTTGGCCTGTTTTGTTTTTTTTTTTTTTTTTTTTACAATCAATATACTAAATATAGTTTTTCAATATTTTAATAAAAAAATATTCTACCAATATATATGTCTTTGGTTTGGTATTAGTAAGCTCTTTATACTTACAAGTTATCCTCTGTAAAATCCTATATTAACCTATATGTTGCTTAGAGGAGACGACAACACGAAAATCGAAAAGTCTGGTCCCGTCATCCATGCATATCCTAATTACATGATTGTGCGATACTGTTGGATAACGATCATCAAGAATGAAGATGTTTGTTTCTGTCTTTAATACTTCAATATATACCGTTCGAAGGATTTCTATCTTAAGGAGAGAAGAAAAAGTTGAAAAAGATAAACCAAATTTATATGAGTAGTGCTACATGATCTTAATTATATAAAAAAAATCATCATAATTTTATAAGAGTAATATTTTTTTAGATAAAGAAGGAAAAAAATTAAATATTTTATTTTAATAGCTATTATGTTATTTAATTTTTTTATTTTTTAAATTCAATTTTAAAAATTTTTTATTTTTAAAAATAATATCTACTATCATGATAACATTAAGTATTTTTAAACTTATATATATATATATATATATATATATATATATATATATATATGCAAAATTCCGCTTTGGAAATTGCCATTCATAAATGTATCTCAATTGAAAAAGATACTACATTATTTATGTTCTCGAAAGGTTTGCTAGAAAATACCAAATATCATGTTTTGCCTGACTTCAACCTTACCAAAACCAATCAATATCCATTTGACTACTGAAAGTATAGTAAGAGGGAATGAAAATAAAGGCAGCTCGTGATTGCACCTTCTTTTGATAATGTTTTGTTTTTTTCTTCAAATGCATATCCTTAATAATTGAGCAGCGGTCTAGCTACGCAACTTTGACGCTTAGCGTAATAATTAAAGGGACACTTTCTAGAATAGCATTGCCGGCTTTCCGAACCATAATTAAGTAGATATTCATAGGAGTAAATTATAAACTAGCCCCTTTATTAAAAAAATTAAATTAATTAGTTTTTATTGTTTTAAAAAATAATTATTTAGTTTATTAACCAGTATTATTCATACTTAATTTAATATTATTTTATTTCAAAAAAATATCTTTTTTTTCATCAATTCTTCTATATTTTTATTTTAAAAAATTAAATAAAAAATAAAAATAAATTGAAAAAACGAAAATGATTAGTTTTTGAGACAAAAATATAAATAGTAAATAATTAGTTTTTAAGACAAAAAAGATTAATTAATTTAACATATGGAGACTAAATTAATAATTAATATTTGAGAAAAAGAAAATTAATTAATTTTTTTTAAAATTAAAAAGAATAATTTATAATTTGCAAATATTTTACTAGCTAGGAGGTTATAGATGTGATCAATTAAATATTAAGTCTTCATAATTCAGTTTTTAAACTAATTACATAACGTATGTAGGTTTAAGTAGAATCATCTCTTAAATTGAAAGCGCCAATGCTATATATATATATATATATATAGAATTCATTAAATATGGCAAAACTATGCTTACCATTTATAACCAAATTAATTAAATATATCTAGTAGTTAAAATAGCAGTGAACATGCTTGAAGCTAAAGGTGATTTAGTTAACATAAGCAGGCTCAACCTTAGTTTAATAGTTATGTATTAAGTTAATTTTTCTAGTGAAATAAAGTTCGAATTTAAATGACATTAATTTCTTTAAGAAATTATCCAAAGGTACTGAAATTTCACATAAGATAAGAGCCTTTTTCATCCATTATATGCCACGTGTAAATTTTTACCGTATGAAATAAGATTTTTAAAATTTGAAAATTTTTTCTCCTGTTAACTTCCATCTTCTAACCAAAGAATAAAAGAACCCTTTGTCTTCTCCTTCATCCCCCGTCTCTCTCTCTCTCCGGCGGCTTCCGTTCATTGTTTTGGAGACTATCTATTCCCATAGGAGATACAACTGGTCATCCACTAGTGAACCCATTTGGACCAAAAAGCCGAGTTCTTGAACCATTGGATCTTGATCCAATCTTGGTAGTGGTGGGAGGGAGTGATCTGCTCAAAGATCGAGCCAAGGACTATGCAGAGAGACTCAAAAATTGGGGAAAAGATGCAAACCATGTTGCGTTTGAAGAACAACAACATGGGTTCTTTACCATAAATCCTAACTCAGAAGCATCAATTAAATTGACGCTGATCATCAAAAGTTTTGTCGTTGAAAAATCTACCTGATATGTGTTTGCCTTCTCTACTATAATAAATAATTCTTTCTTTGCTTTTCTTTCGTCGTGTTTTCTTTTCCCCCTTAATGTCAACTGATGTGGAAAAAATTTATACGTGGCACACAATGAATGGAAGAGATTGTTATCTTACGTGGAATTTCAGGACCTTCGAGATAATTTCTAGGTTGGTTGGGCTTCCAATGATTTCAAAAAAAAAAAACAAAAAAATTGATTGTTGCCCCTTCCAAAAAGTCCGCAGATGAGGCAATGCCAGTCATTCTAGCCAGACTCTATAAGTCTTCCAAAACGTCAGGCATGCCCTGGTCTCCAGCTCTCTTTCTAGTAATAAGCCTCTTTCTCCCTCTCTTTCTCCATCTCTTTCTCAACCTCCTTCTAGCAAAACCCTCATAGTAATATGGCAGAGACACACAAGAAACCCCATGCCATCTTCATACCCTACCCTCTTCAAGGCCATGTCATCCCAGCAGTTCCCCTTGCCATCAAGCTTGCATCTCAAGGTTTCACCATCACCTACATCAACACCGAGGCCATCCATCACCAAACTTCCAAGGCTGAGCCTAATACGGAACCCGACGTCTTCACCAAGGTCCGAGAATCAGGGCTTGATATTCGGTACAAAACTGTATCCGACGGGCTTCCTGTTGGGTTCGACCGGTCGTTGAACCATGACCAGTACATGGAAGCCCTACTCCATGTGCTTTCGGCCCATGTGGATGAGGTGGTGGGCCAGATTGTAAAGTCTGATGACAGTGTTCGATGTTTGATCGCCGATACCTTTTTTGTATGGCCATCAAAGATTGCAAAGAAGTTTGGTTTGCTGTATGTTTCGTTTTGGACAGAACCGGCTTTGGTGTTCTCCTTGTATTATCATATGGATCTTCTAAGGATAAATGGTCATTTTGGTTGTCAAGGTAACTTTTCTTATCATGTCAATCAAAGAGTATTATTGTTTCAAGTACTTGCTAGTTTCTTGCTCGATTGAGTTGTCTAGTGCAAATTTTGCTAATTTTATTGAATATTCTTTCCGAATTCAAATTCTAATATATATATGTGTGTGTGCGTGCGTGTGGATTTCATAAATTCAGTTGTTGAAACTTTATGAGGATTGAATTGGGGAAAAAAAATCGATAAGATTAGCATACTTCTATTTATTAAAAAAAATGTTGGTAAATATAAAAAATTTCATGTTGGTACATGATTAAGTTTTGGTAAATTCTGTTTTCAGATTGCCGTGAGGACAGCATAGATTACATACCAGGAGTGAAGTCAATAGAACCCAAAGACATGACATCGTATCTTCAAGAGACAGATACAACTTCCGTTTGCCATCAAATTATTTTCAGTGCTTTCAACGACACTAAAAATGCAGATTTTGTTTTATGCAACACGGTGCAAGAACTTGAAGCCGAGACTTTGTCAGCTCTACAAGCCAAAATGGCCTTCTATGCAATTGGACCCATTTTCCCCGAGGGCTTCACCAAGAGCTTTGTGGCCACTAGCCTGTGGTCCGAGTCTGATTGCACCCAGTGGCTTGACAAGAAGCCTCATGGCTCCGTCTTGTATGTTTCATTTGGTAGCTACGCACATGTTACGAAAGAGAACCTTGAACAGATCGCAAATGGGCTCTCTCTTAGCAATGTGAGTTTTGTTTGGGTGCTTCGGCCTGATATTGTGAGCTCTGATGATGCTCATCCCCTGCCTGATGGATTTGAGGAAGAGGTTGCTGACCGTGCGATCATCATACCTTGGTGCAGTCAAAGAGCAATGTTGGCTCACCCTGCGGTTGGAGGGTTCTTGACACATTGTGGATGGAATTCCGTACTTGAAAGTATATGGTGTGAAGTTCCTTTATTGTGTTTTCCTTTGCTGACTGATCAATTCACTAATAGGAAATTAGTGGTTGATGACTGGAAGATAGGGATTAATCTGAGTGATAGAAAGTTGGTCACTAAAGAGGAAGTTTCTAGCAATATTAACCGTTTGATGAGTGGAAAATCAGGGGACGAATTGAAGAACACAATCACGGAGGCGAAGAAAACGTTAGAAAATGCCTTGTCACCCAATGGATCGTCAGAGAAAAATATGGTTCAGTTCATCAAGGACCTAAAGACGAAGATAAGTGAAAAGACGGACGAACCAAACAGATCCATATGCAACGGCAAGTAAACCTATATATATATATATATATACGGTGTTATTAGCCCAGTTTTCCTGTATTAAAATTAAATCCATTTTTCGGTCCAATCAAAGACAAACAATCAACACAGGTATCAGGGAATTCGTAAGAACTTTACTTACAAAAAGGCAGCAGCTAAAAGCCTAAACCATGCAGAGTTGCAGACACCCTGTTTTATTATGGATTATGAAAAAATATGCATAATGATTGATTGATAGTTTGTTTATGCATCAAATTGTTTTCCTAGTTAATGTCCAAGTTGTTCCTGGAATACTCATAAAATTCCTTTAAATCGTCTGTTACAAATTTTCATTTTCATCAGTTAAACTTTATTGTGATTCTGTAAAATTATTGGTGAAATCTATCTTCGAAAAAATATATATATATATATACACTGCAACATTGTACTAACTTCCTCACATAATTACAAGAACAAAATGTATGGGCTCATATGACCGGACAACTTATTTAAAAGATTGTAATGGTAGCAGGCCGTTAAGAACGAAAGGAGAGATGATGAATTATGTTCTCCATCTAAAATAGCACAAAGAAGATACCTTTCAAGCACTGAGATTTACTCTTCATTTTGGAAGCGTTAGGAAGCATTTTAATTGTCCCTTTGAAAGAGGAATCAAACGAAAAATAAATTGTCTAAACTAGGTATGAAAAGCTAATCCAGACTATCTTGACAAAAGGGTCTAAGAAAATCAGAGGAAGACAGTGACCAAAGCTCTCTTTAATTGTATTCACCTTTTCCTGTCTAATGCTAAACTAAAACAGGGGGACGAAATTAAGATTAGTTACACAAGAGTGGCAGTACAATTTCCATTCATCTTGGATTGTCTGTATCCCGATTACACCGGCAAAACTTAAGCATGGATTCATTTTTCCCTACCCGAAAATGCAGTACAACAAACACTAGAATGCGATACCCAGTCGCCATGAGAAACAAAACCAACAAATTCTCCCATTTGGAATTACTGTCAGGAGAGATATCATATGCACTCTGGAGGGCCTGCAATCCTGAAATGGTCCTTACTTGCCCAACAGCATACGAAGTTCCCAGGTACTCGTTCTCCAAAAGCCCCTGCAACACCAACACCAATGACACATCTAAGATCCTTTCAGAAATATGATCTTACTTTAACAGCTGGCAACTGCTTCCAATAAATGAAAATTTAAAGGGCCAGAGGAAATTTGAATTTCTAGTAGTCAGGATTTTCGTATGGAGTTGATTGAGCAATAAAAATAAAAATAAAATGCACTGACCATAAGGTTAATTCAGACACACAGGTAGTCCTATGGACAACACAACAGAGCACAATTACAACCAAACTTGCCTGAATAGAGTAAGTGTGAAAAGCAATATAGGATACTGGATATGTCCACACTGGTCCTGGCAATGCACTTCGAATTCTAAAATACCCGGCAGAAAGCATCATTAAGACCTGAATGTCACACATACCAACATTAGATTAAGCAATGCCAACTCATTAATCAATATAAATATGCACATACATACTGAAAAATTAATCACCACAACTTAATGATGCATTTATGCAAGAGAAAGGTCATCAAGCACCATACAAGACAATCTTAGTAAACATTTGGCATGAATTCAAAATTTGATTTTTTCAATCAGCTTTAGTACTTCAATACAATTGAATTATCTTCTACAGGATATCCCAGATAAATATGAGAGAGGTGGAGAGATACAGGTTAATGCCAACAGCAAAAGGAGTGTGTAGTCGTACGCGTGTGCCATGAAAATATTTCTCTTTCATTATATGAAACTCAGCAAATGCTAAACATATGAAAAAATATTCAGTACTGATAATGAAACTCACGTGTATTGATACCAGCGTTAATACACTCCAGAAAACATGTTGCCAAAGGGAAGTGATAACCAGCATTAGTCCTTCATTTACTAGGAGGCACGCGAAGAAATTCAAAACAAAGTACATCAACAAGCTAAATTCGTCTTGCAAGCCTATGAGGAAATAGAAGACAAGACTTGATGAAATTGAGATAAGAAAGAGGAATGGTATGCTCGAGAGAAATTGCCCAAGTAAAAAGACAAGTGCTCCTGAATGCCTATTTGGTTCTTCACATGCATATATCTGCAAAACAAGTGACCAAATTGCATATGAGAAAGATTAACCTCAGACAAGCAAATGATGATTAAAAAGAAGAAAAACCCCGCTTGATTACATTTTACTACACTTTTTCCATAATCGACTTTTTATGCTCAAAAATAGAAGAGTTTTTTAATTTTTTTAGTTATTTATTTTGCATCTAGTTCATATGATTGATAATCAATGACCTTAATAAATAACGTTTTATTTCTTTGGTGCCTTTATATAAAGCACCTAATGTTTTATTTGAGACAACTTTGGATGATATCGAGAGTGGAGACATTATTTTTTCACTCTTTCAACTGCTTAACTTTTCTACCTCATCTCTGACATGTCCTTTGTGTTCAGTGTCCTTAAGGTCCAAATGCATCATATACAAGCTTTATTATGACCTAGAAAAGCCAGACGACTCCATACACATGCCAGGAAAAATTAAATAAAAAAAGGAAGCTCCCTTTGTCTTGCTACTTGGGAATGCCACCCAGTTATACCATATAGAAACTAGCATATCACATCATCTTGACACCCTTTTCAATGTTTTCATCCTTCAGGGACCAGTTACAAGCCCATGAAAGCTACCAAAACGGTTCTAAATTTTATGAGAAGTTACAAAAGTTTCATTTGGGATATCAAAGGGAACTATATAATCCACGGAACTCTATATGAGATTAAAACATGAGTAATAGATATTCTCGAGCCAAAGCTGACTTTTCTATCTCATGTGTAACCATAGGACAGCAAAGTTTTTTTACTAAAACCCAACAGAAAGCGCAAGGAAATACCTTGATTTCTTTCAAAAGTGCAGGTACACCTGCAATGCTTAGAAGTGAAGTGAATGATACAAATACAAATATTGCAGCAACCCTTGTCTGCAAAATGGGAGAGGAGATAAGAAATTGATCCACATGCATCATCAGTGTGCATGCACAAGAATGAAGACAATAATCATGAAAAACAAGGTCAAGAAGCAGTGATGTACCAGAAATTTTTATCAAGCCACAAGATGAACAGTTACCAAAGGCAAAATGAATGACAGATAAAAAGAGCACGCATCCCATGCCAATGAGGCATTTCAAAGAATCAAATATTCCTGGAAAATCTTTACAAGTCGTACATCAGAACTATTTCCTAGGATGTCCAAGTAATAGCCGAATACACGAGCGCCACCTACTGAATATCAAGAGGATTTTTTTTCACCCAGAAGAGGAAGGATTCATCGTCCTGGGGTTGGTTACAGGAAGTCACATTAATAGCTGCTGCCAAAATGACTTGGATGGTTTGATGTGCATGTCTAACCTAGATCTGCTTCTACTCAGATCATGTGTTTAATTACGACCATGCAGAATACAAATATGACCAGGTTCTAAAGGACTCAGTTATCCTGTTCTTCCTCAGGTACTTATGGATGCAAATTCGGATGTAGTAATGATGTTTGTTTTAAGATACTCACCACAACTGAAGACAAAGAATGCCCCAAGCCTGAAAAAACTGTACCAATACAGAGGGTAAGAAGCATATAGAGAATAAGACGAAGCCAGTAGTATTTCCATTCCCTTGACATAATTAGCAAAGATCTCCACGTCAAAACTGCAATCCTTGTAGCGTTGCCAGCTTTTCCCTTGCTTTTAAGAAGTGGACCTTCCTGCAGAGTTAAACCACATTTGGCAAGCGATTTAGTGAAGACTACAAAAGCTACCATCCGTGGAGCCATGCATGCAGGAGTGCTTTCATTACAGTTTATGCTTCAATGCAAAAATGGGGAGTTTGTGCTTCAATGAGAAAATGGGGCAATTGACTGGATGCAAAAACGAGGAGTTTGTGCTTCAATGCAAAAACAGGTGTTGAAGGAATTTCACAAATTATATATATATTTTTTTTTAAGAATAAAAGAATAATTTATGGAATGAAAAAAAAATTATTGAAGTTATTTTATCATAAAAAAAAAATCATGGAATGAAAATCCACTACTAGACTGACATCTTTATCAAACTGGAGAACATAAAAGAATAGGCCAACAGAGAGCGGATTAATCATGACGTGGACCATCATGATTTAACCTTTAGGACTTGGAATATCTTCTTTGAAAAATAGCATACTATCCTTGTATTGTTTGTCTTTTCCAAAACTAGTTTACTTTCTCATTGGAATATGGATGCAACATGACAAATTATTTTATCTGTGACAAACACTTTTGAAGTGATACTTGAATGAACAGCCATGCACAGATGTACGATCTAAATCAGTTGAAGTTGCCTGAAAAGTGAGATAGCAAACTAATTAAGCACAATCAACTCAAATGCATCCTACTTTGATCTAAAATGATCATACCTTCAAAAATCACACTTCAAGGTATCGTAGGCCTATATCAGAAAAATTTTGATTATTAAGTTTTTTAGGATGAAATCTTACATATGACGAAAAATTTTCTAGAACAGAGCAAATAGCTCCCATTGCTGTCATCTAATAAAGATTTATACAGCTAGTTTGATTAAGTCTTGTACATGCAGGATCAGATTTCCTAGGAAACTCAAGTTTCCGTTCAGATTGATCCAAACATCATGACAAAATAAAACTGCACCAAAATCTCCTTGTTTAAATTGCGTATTGCATTCATCTTGATATTACAAAATATTTAGCACACAAAAGCTAATTCCAAAGCATAAAATTTTCCATAGTGAAACTTGTATTTGCTTGCAGCCACAACCCAAAGAGAATATCTACACAAACGAGCACATCTGCATGGCAGCATTTCTATGCCTAAATTTACAGTGATCTACCTTCTTCACGTAATGAGACATGGATGAGCTTGATTGTTTACGTGTCAATGTTAAACACTCAACATGCGTTGTACCCTCCGTGATCATATGTTCCAAAAACATAAAAAATAAAGCCTTTTTTTAGACATATGATTGGTAAATTTTTTACCTAAAATCCATCCAATCCCAGTCCCTTTTAGAATTCGATCTAAATCCTAAAGTCAGATCTAAAGCATCACTGGATTAATCCAAAAATTTTATTCCAGATACTCAAGCAGCATCCAAGCCTTCCATGCATTGACACAGCAATCCAGGTGCAAAAACAAAAAAAGATTGATTCCTTCATTACCCATAAAAGAAAGAACTAACAAGACATAAGCAAATCTCTCTCGGCATCACAAGACAATCACTAATTGTGTGCATAGTGGAGGCTGAGTGATGGGTATTTAGGCAACCATTAGACATAGTATAATAAGGGGAGATAATGACAATACCCTTTCAGTGAGTCTCAATATCATGGTTTCAACTGCTGCAGCATCAGCTGATGATTTATAGGTTGCTTCCAGGGTACGTATGGCAACAGCAGTGTCCATGTTCACTGATGAAAAATCTCCATGGTCATCCTGTGACAATGATTCCATGTCTAGTACATGTCAAAATGAGTACTAAACAAGAGTGTCCTAAATTGATAGAATAATTTATAATATGTCGTATAGGTGTGCAGAAGTCAACACTGCTACAACATTTTGTTCAAACTCAGGTTGAAAATATAAGTAATATGAGTGTTACAACTTCAAACATCAGTCTCACTATTTCCCGTTTTAAGAGCATCTTTTATGTTGCAATGAGAAATACGGATCAATAAAATAATAATATTTACCAAGTACCTGCCAATTTTTGCACATTGCAATGATCCTGTCAAAATCTGTGTTTATTGCACGTAAGAAGTGATCGGAAGGACTTTGCATAATTGGGCAAGGAAATCCAGCATTTGAGAAGTGCTTCATCAATATAAATATGCCAATTAGTATCCACATAATACTCTCTTTAAGTTCCAAGAAAGAAAAAAAAAATCTTGGACTTTTGCACAAACTGATGTTATTTTGATACCACATCTTACAGCAACCAAATGAAGCACAAAATAAAGACAGTAACTTGGTTGAATACATTTGGTACTAAACTATAAAATGGCCATATGGATATGGGCTTCACTAATTTCAAAATTATGTTCTTTATTAGAAACTAAATCATATGGTAAGATCAAATTCCCAGCATCCCTTACTTGCAAGCAGGACAACGTTTCCCCAAAAAATAAGGTATTTCCATTTGAAAGCAGGCAGATCCGATCAAAGAGACCAAATACTTCTGTGCTGCTCTGGTAAATGGTAAAGATAAGAGTGCACCCAGTGCTAGCCAGTTTCTTTAATGTAACCATCATCAGAAGGGCAGAGACACTGACAGATGTAAAGTCATGAAATTAGATAGAACATGGAAATCAATCAGTACTTATTGGAAGAACAACATAAATCATTATGAGCATGCAGAGCCATGACCACATACAGATAAACAAAAGTGAGGTCATTAATAATGTTGGATCCCTCATAAAATGGAAAATAATATGTTGATACCAAAGTTCACAAAAAGTTAGTTAAAGTTTCTTTGCCAATTGCAATCATATTTCCCTGGTCATGTCAAGTACTTCAGTTTACCAATTGTGATTTTTTGGAGATTTTGTATAACATTTTAATATGCAGAGCAGGAAATGATCCACAATTCATGCTCATTCCTCACACACATGTAATCAAAGTGGTTTGGCAGCATCTAATTTTGGTTCTTGCAAAGAAATAAACCTAAGCTGCTTGTTCCTACCCCTGACTGAGTGCTTCAAGTCAACAGTACAATAAGCCATGCAATCATGCACAGTACCCCATGTAGATGGATATGAAAAAATTATGAGTCTTGAAAACCTAATCGAGGTTGGATGGAAAAAAATGCAATAACCTGTCAAGATGATAAAGAGGTTCGTCTATAAACAAGATATGTGGCCTCATCACAAGCTCCCGAGCAATGCTAATCCGCCTTCTCTCGCCACTTGGAAGGCCCTTAAAATAACAATGTCCTCCAATAAGTTTGTTTGCATAATCACTCAAAGACATGGCGTGGATGGCATCCTCTACCACACTCTTTTTCTGGCAGAAGAAGCCAGGAAGTTGAAGCAGTGCGGAGTAGTATAAGTATTCTCGGACGGTGAGAGACCCTATCAGAGTAGTTTCCCTCTCAACAAAACCCTACAAAATGGAAGATAATTCAAGGTAAAAAGCCCCAACTTTGCTACAGATAACAACTTTTAGTTTCATCATGGAAATGCAACTTTAACTTTTCGAATGAAGACAATTTCCTCATTAACAGTAACAGAACTTAATTAGCAAAATAAGACAGCTATAATTTACCATTTGATACTTCAAAGATGAAGAAGCATCTTATCCAGTTATGAAAAGGATGTAAAAAATTTAAGCACCCAACTTGGTTTGAGGCAAAAATCCTATATATTCCAAATCATGATGTAACCTAAAGTCGATACCAAGAACGACCAGCAGAAGTGGGATTGACCTCATTTATAATGCATTTGTTTAAGAGAAGAGATCAAGAGGCAAAACACTAAACATTGTGAAAATGACAGCTCATAGGAGGGCTTACCAGATTTTCTTTCAAAATTAAAACAGTAACAATATCAGATGTCTGTTAAGGACTATCCTACCGCCATTTGGTTCACAAACACGCTCACACATGACACACGCACACATGTGTAATATATCACATGCAAAATAGCGAAGGCACATCTATTATAAAGGAAACAATGTTTGGAATTAGGGTCCTGGTCACTAGGATAGAGTATAGACTATATCATTTTATTTCCTTTTTATCTTTGGACAACTCACCAACATGGATGAATGTTATTAACATAAAAATTCTAAGAGGATGATAAAGATGCATTTGAATTTTCTCAACCTGGATAGCTCTGGTATGATGGTAGATTTTGGGCAAGTATAGTTCAGAAAGTATATGCTTTAGCTATCAAATGACTCATGATCAATCAGATTGCATAGTATACATATAGCAGACTTGACAGTGCATTCCTCGTGATAAATTGGCCATGTTTTAGCATACCAACAATAAAACACAATTTAAAAGTTATACAGAAATGGAGATGAAATTGGGGGAGCAGAAAATGTGACAATCCACAACCCAAATTGGTTGTATACTATCACAATTCTTAGCACATCGTTTGACTCAGTGATGCAGCAAGCAACTTCGGCCAAAACTTGTGGTAACGATTCCATGAAGGTTACAGAATCAATAAAACAAAATCTAATTGCATGGATAACAAGACAGCCTTACCAATTTGCACAACCTTTTGAAGTTAACAAAACCATTGATTACAAATAGGATAATACTGCAATGCCAAAACATATATATACCTATATCACTCTCAGCTCCATGAGACAAAGTAGTGACCAAGAGTAAAATAATAAATATACTAAAGGAAGAGTGAACAAGAACGTTTTGATCGTATATACTAGAACAGCAAGAATAAATTAATCATAGAAGGAAGAATATCAAAACTGCAGCAGAGAATCTTTCGACCTTGCATATTTAAAGAACATAATGAAATAAATCATAGAAGGAAGGATATCAAGACAGCAGAGTTGCGCGGATACCCAATTAAAAATTCCCCAACTAAAAAATTTAAATTGCTAGAGAAAAGTGATGATCCAATAGCAAGAGAATATACTTAGAACTTACATATGAGCCATAATGCATTCGTGATTTTGCACCATTCACAAAAACTTCACCATACATTCTGGCTGAATGATGCAACCTCCCTGCAGTGTTGAAATTCACTTCTTTAGTTTCAAGCATCCATAGAGAAATTTAAAAGCAAATATTTCAACTTGGTGATAAAAATGAAAAGCATGGTACCTAACCTGCAATAGCCCTTAGCAACGTGGATTTCCCTGATTTTGCAGGACCCATGATGACTGTCATTGTCCCAGGCAATGCATAACCACTAGAGCTCTTGATAACTTTGTCTGAGTACTTCCTTTTCCCTTTGATTGTAACAGTCAAGTCTTTCCAAACAACAGAAGCCCCTGCAATTTTTCTTACAACAACTGCACCCTCTGGTAATGGTGGGGATGGCAATGACCCACTATTAAGCTTCGACAAAGATGGAGATGCTGGTGTTGTAGCAACATTGATAGAGTCACCTCCTTCCTCCACCCTAACATCAATATCCGTATCCTCCCACTCTGGTGAATCCTCAAACGAGATAGGTTGTCTAAGTGAACCAGGCTTCCGCAAATAGAAGAAGTTACTTGATGGCACCCTACTTGCAGGACTACTCGCTGAAGATGAAGAAGATCTGTAATTATCTGATTGAGATTGTATCTCTTCCATCTCCTGCTCCCACTTTTTATCAAACACTTTTAGTAGAAAATGTCTGCACTTTCACACAAACATAATAGCATCTGTACTGCTAATCAGAGTTTCCAATTTACTCGACAACTCCCCATCTTCATGAAAAAATAAAAAATCCTACATCAAGCATTCAAGAAATCCAAAATTTCAAACATCAATTAATATATTGTGGATTCATATCCCTGCATGCTATGGTTATGCACAGAACATTGACAGGCAAGTATAGAAGAAACTGTAGAAACGGAAAAGTATATGCAATTTTAACATTTTGGCATTGTTAAATTCAATTGAAAGAATAAAATCCCAAGACCTTTGAAATAAAACAAAAATAAAAAACTGATAGAAACCCCATTCCCATTTTGCTCCAAAGTTTTTTTCTCAAAAAAAAAAAAAAAAGCATAGTATAATGATAAACAGCAATGCAACACTTTGCAACAGCTACTTCTAAGAATCTCAATAGCATCTCTTGAACAAACAGCAAGGCAGCACTTATCAATAGTATAAAGATCCCATGATCATATTACATTAGTATACCTTGGTTAAAAAAAAAAAAAAAAAAAAAACATAGTACGATCTTTTTTTATGGAAGTTTGAATATCATTAAAAGACATCAACATATTTAAGGTTTCGTTTTCATTTCCTCATTTTGCTTTCTTTTTTCCTTCCATTCTCAGAATCAAACAATACTCGGCAACTTAACAGATAGTCAAAAAGCAAACAGCTTTTTTATAGAGCTTATGTTCATAGAACAAAAAATGACAGCAAAATTAAAAAAAAAAAAAAAAAAAAAAAAAAAAAGGAAGAGAAACCAAAACCCCAAATGCTGAACCAAACTAAGAAACCACCTAATCAGACCAAAAATCACCCTCGTTTTGAAACAATAAAAAACCAAACCAAAAAAAACAAAGAACGAAGAAGAGCAAAAAGAAAGTAGACCCACAATACACACACACTCTTTATAGTAACTTATCAAATAGAATTCACTCGAACTTGATAAACTTACTCTACCTAGTACTAGTATTCTGTTTTTTTGCCAAGAAAATGTAATAAAAGTCTGAAAAGATCGCAACTTTGCAGCTCAACTTAACCTAACTAGTGCTTTTAGTAGCTCAGTGGAGTGCCCAGCAAACAGAAAAGTAGCTAGCTACTTGAAATTTTCTTTTACTTTCACTCCTCCGTAAGCAAGTAGAACCCCTATTAAGCATACATAAATTCAATGGATGGAGAAGAATATAAAATAAAATGCATTTGAAGGGAAGAATGTCAAAGAGACAAACCTGGATCTGAATGTGAAAAGGATTACTGGAGCTTAGGCCTTATAGAGAGAGAGTGGGGAGAGGTAGTGTCAGGGTGCCTAATAATTTAAACACTGAATTCTACATATTATAATTACGATTTATTAATCATTGTTTTTTTTTTTTTAACAAACTTCAAATATATCGAGTAAATTAATTAGTCCCTCTAAGTTTTCTATACGAATTAATTAGTCTCTTTAGTTTTAAAAAACTAATTAATTAGTCGCTGTGTTTTTAAATCTATCTATAACCAAATATTTTCATTCTTTTTTATTTATTATAAGAAATAATAAAAGAAAAGGTAAGTAAAAAATATGAAAACATTGATGAGATAAGAAAATATTTTTCAAAACAAAATGATATTAAATTAACAATTATCAACATTGTTCAAGTAATTAATTAATTAGTTTTTGAAATAAGAAAAATTATTTAATTCATTTTACAAAATTACCTAATTTATAATATACTCCAATATATCCCTATCTATGGGAAAGCATCAATTTTGTATACAAATAATAGTTTACATCAATTTTATACTTATATAATTTGTTTTTTCAATTGGATTCTTTTGTGAGAATTTCTTACTAGTAAACGAGACAAAGCAATATTGTTTCTTATAATAAAAAGTATGATTTGGATAGAATCTATGATTAAAAATGGATAAAAAAGATTTAATTAAAAAATAAAATTGAAAGATAAAATTGATATGAAAATATTTTGCAAGTAATTGGTGGGCAATTTCTTAGGTTTTTTTATTTTATTTTTTTGTTCTAATAAGAGTTTTTACATATGAATATTAATTATTTTTCCCTCAAAGATTAAATAAACCCCAAGTGATTAGCCTAGTGTTCAAAGAGATTTGTTATCTTTATTAATTTTTTAGGTTTAAATTTTGAAACTGTCACCTAAAAAAATTTATTCAATTACTTATAATGCATCATGTTAATACAAAAATGGTGTCTTTTTAGATTATCCAAATAGAAATTTAGTCTTAATTGACGTACACATTAACTCAAAATATCATTATTATGAAAATAAAAAATTGAGCAGCTATTTCAATTTTAAACAAATCATAAATATTTTATTTTATACGTCCATAAAAATGTTATATTTTTGTATGATTTCAGTTGTGTCATCCATGTGGAAAGTTGATGGTTCATAAACTGGATTTAATCAGAAAGTAATTACTTATCAAAGTAAATTATAAATTAGTCTCTTAAAATAAATTAAATGATTACTCTAGTTTTAATAATTAATAATTAGTCTCTATATTTTTAAATATATTTATAACTTAATTTATTTTATTTTTCAATAAATAAAAAAATTTTAAAAATGTGGAAAGATTGATGGAGAAAAATAATTTTTTTGAATAAAACAATATTAAATTAACTATAATCACTACAAATCAAGGGATTAATTAGTTAGTTTTTGGAATAAAAAAGATTATTTAATTTATTTTGCCAAATAGAGAGACTAATTTCTAATTTACTCCTAATCATTGCGAAGAAATAGATGGAAACTTGGACTTGGCTTTTATCTGATCTGACCTGTCTGTCCCGGTTTTATCTTGGCATCTTTGCTTTATCTCATTTTTGGTTTTGGTTTCTTTTTTGTCTTTTTCTTTTTCTTTGATAACTACTTTTTTGTTTTTTTAAGATTTGGTGGCAATGATGTTTTGATATTGCCAATGCACCACTTGTAAAAGCAAAAATTTTGTTTGAACAAAGGGTGTGTCATTCATCCCTCATCTATGCTTTGAATGATTAGATTTATTAAAAAAAAATTAATTAATAAAAGCAGGAAATTGAAAAAGAAATAAATAAAGGACAAGGGTGGTAGGTATATTATTATTCATTTCTTTCCAAGTAAAGTTAATTACTACGACAATGCTAAATCAGGAAATGTGTGCCCATTGGCAAAAACAAGTTTCTTGTTAATTTAATGTTTTCTGTCAAAGCATTAATTAGATCCATGAGTTTGCTTATTTGTTACTACTACTGTTTCTTTCAATAATTTCTGGAAATCCAGTACCCTTTTTGAACGATCGCTCAAAATACTTCCTTCTGACCCATAGGGCGAAACCGTGTGGGTCACATGTGAAATTCATATCTAGTTGGTTTGCAAATCCCACAAGGGGCCAAATTTTACTGACCCGACTAGACTAGATTGGTATATTGGATTGAAGAAAATCCACTCAAGAGCACACATCCACTCTCGTTTTTTATACATATATGTGTTTTGTAGATAAAAGATCTAATTTGTTAGCGGTAAATTCTGCGAAATTTCACCAACATGTTCTGGTTATTAAAAAAAGAAATTAGAAAAGTTGGAGGGTTTATTATTCACATCACTGTTTAGTCACACTCAATAATGCAACATTTTTTAGACTTATGTTATTGTATGTAGTGATATTTTTATAATTTTTAAGTTGTTTTAAGATATTTATATATAAATTTTACCTAATGTTGCACTTTAGTTCTTGATAGTTTTAAAAGATTTTATTTTGATCTCCAAGCTCATTTGTATCCCAATTTGATTTTTACATACAAAGAGATAAGAGAAACTAAGAAAGAGAAGGAATGAGAGAGAAAGTCACAATCAACTCCAATTTCAGTCTTTTTTATTGTCGATCTTGCATTCACATGGTTTATTTTGTCAAACAATATGTGTTTATGGTGGTTTTAAACCATAAAATTATTAGATAAGGTAGATTAGAACCTAAAAAAAATTAAAATTTTCGATTTGATTTGTTTGTTTGTTTTAATATGTATTGAAATGTTTTGTAAGACTCCACACGAGCCATTGACCTTATTTCAATAATTTTGAGGTATTTTAGGATAAAAATAATGTCGAAAATGAGGCTCCGAGGTTTGGAATTGGACCCTCGATTTTCTCATGACGATTCAACAATATTTCTAATAAATTTGAGTTTACTAGAAGTTGCAAGTGGCCAACACTTGTGTTGTTCCCCAGCACGAGCGACATTTCGTTTGTTGGTTTTTTGTTTTTAAAAACAGACTATGTGGGCCTGCTTCTGCAAGCCACAAATCAAGAAATGTATCACCTACTTCTTCATGGCCGAAGCCGCAAGCCTGTCATGGTTTTCTTTTTTCTTTTTTTCTTTTTTTTAGCTTTTTTTTCAACTTTTTTATTTTTTTATTATTGAATTGGGCTGCAAAAAATATGAAAAATTAATAAAAAAATTTTCACATAGGATGGAAGTAATGAAATATATATGATATGTTTTTAGATTTTAAAATGAACATATATATTGCATTATATTATTATTATTATTTAAAATTGATTTCTTCAATTTGTTGTTTTTTATGAAAATTCTCATTAAATTTATTTTTATTTTTATATGAATTTATTTATTAATAAATATAATTTATTTTTCCATGGATTGATGATAAAATTTTAGAATAAGATTATTTTATCTTTTTTAAATATATTGATATAATTTATATGGTTAATTCTTATAATTTTTAAAAGAAAGTATTAAAAAGATAAAAGTATATTTCATGTGATTTATTCAATTTTTTTAAATAAATTAAATACCCAATTAAAAAATAAATTTTTTTATTTACTTCTTCTTTATATAATCAAAATTTATTGGAATTAATTTTCTAGTTGTTTTTATTTCAATCTATTAACTTTAATATATTCCTTGCAAATTAATAATTT